CTCGGGAGTAGAGTTCGACCCTGAATTCACGGGTTCCTGCAAAACAGATGTCTGAGGAGTGGAGTTTAACCTACAGTGAAGACAACCAGAACAATAACTGGCCAGAGCAAGTGCCTTGACCACTGTCCACTTTTTGGCCACTGTCTGGTTATACTTAATTTCTCACTGCACCAAGATCTAGGCTCTGTGCGGCTGAAATTAGTTTTCCTACTATTCTGACATCCTCGGGGATTTGTGCCCGTGAGCCTCACACAGATCCCCGAAAACATGCATTTTAGGTCCCCTAGCCTGTAAAATACCTGCGTTGTGATCTCTAGGAACGGTGAAATAATAAACAGCGGCCGTTAGAAGGGCGAATCGTAATTTTAAAATAAGTGGATCTCGGCCCAAAGAAAACAAAATTTGGAGTGGCCGGAGACAAAAAAACACTGGAAACCAGATAGCCATGTTCGAAACATAAATTCAGCAACATATCAAAACAGTTAGAGCTTCACCAAAAAATACTTCTTTCCGAGGCTGTACTGACGATTCCCACTCCTATCCGCATGCATAGTCCGGTCTGTGTTTACAGCTAAGGGATGAAACACACACAGAGAGAGACTGCATCGTAAAATGTCTTTTTATACATGACACCTAATTCGAATCTCTCTTTCTAAAAAAAAGTCGTTAATTATTGCTTTTCAGGAAACGAAACGAGCGTCAGGATCGCTAGCCAGTAGTGTGTGAAGTTGGTAATTGGTCAGTGCAGCTGCAAAAGTTGTCAAATGCATAGCTGCACAATCGGGCACTACTAGTCACTACTGCTAATCAGAGGCTTTTCAAGTAAACTATTTTGCGATAATTTATTATTGCATATTTGATGTACTGGATTTGTTAACGGCGTGTATTTTTGGATATGTATTAATTCGAAATTATCGGCAATTTTTGGCACATTGCGTGGACAAGCGTTGCCAAAATTCATTTTAGCGCAAACTTTCTGCGTATTGTTATTTTGATCCTTTCAATTTATTGCTGGTAAATATTGATTTTCCATAAATTTACTATGGCGAGAGAAGAGTTCTGTATAAAAATACACCCAATTTTGTAATGAATCTGGAAAAATGCTGGGTGAATTCTGTGCAAATACAACAAATTTTCCAAAAAATCTGGAAAAATGTTTAGTACCACCGATTAACGAAATTGCTCATCATCCAGTTTGAGCTCTTTAGTGGGGCAGGCTTTTGATGCATCGCGATGAAGGTTGGTTTTTCTCGTCCAGTTTTTAATTGTGCGGGGATTTTAGATGTGGTGAAGGGTATTTTGTCTGCAAGAACGGGCTAAAGCTGGATTCATCGCGTCAGTTGTCGGGACCACAGGCGAGCGGCGGGTGGGGGAGGGAAGACTCTGTTTGCACGCATTTTTAGTTAAATTTGTGATTTTTCGGGGTTTCGTGATGGCTTTCCCCTTTCTCCCCGTATATAAAAGCATCCCAGTAATATCTAATTTTTGACAGATTTTTTCTTTCACTGCACGGCTTTTCTGTAACAGTTGAGGCGCTGCAAAAATTGAACGCTGGGAATAACGGGGTGGGATTGAAAATAGTGAATCAAAGATCATTTTGAACTTTGGTGCGTCCAGCAATCCACATAATATAAGCTGGGAAGAAGCACTTGACAGTTGCGTCTGTTGGAGCCTAAATACACTCATTAATTTCCCGTCTGAGAATGTTTGCTCGGTAATTTTCTTAGGAATTTTGGTTTGTTTGACATTTCATCGTGTCACACTGATGCAGCTGTCAACTTCTCCATTCTTCGCTATTATGAGCTTTTCTCATCCATATAATTCCTTGTAAAGATCTTAATAGTGATAGATATTTATAAAATATGTAAAATTTGTAAAATGTAAAGTGTATAAAATTTATGCGGCTTGATGGACCGAAACATTCCTATTCAGGTTTTTATTCCGATTTATCTTATTCACCTTCCTTTTATTCCCTTACTTTTAAACCCCTACTTTTTACAAAAACACACATCATCTAAAATTAAAATTACAAGATATATAAAATTTGTAAAATATAAAATATGTAAAATTCATAAAATATAAAATACACAATTTTGTTAAAAAATAATTAAACGAACAGGGATGTTTTGGTCCATCAAATTTTATACACATTCCTATCCAGCACCACACAACTGGACCTCGTCAGTACGATGGTTGTCTTATTAAAATATATATATAGTCGTTCAAGCCCATCTTTTCACACTGTTGACACTTTACATCTAATCTACTTAAAAAGTACTTTTTTTGACGTTGTGATACCAAATATTTGATTTTATGCGTGTTATGCTGTACTGATATTTGGTTTTTCAAAAATAGGGTGACCAGGGAACAGAGGAAAGTAACCCGTCGCTTTTTTTCCTTTTTCAGTAAAGCCTAGCACTTAACAAACAAAACATTTCGATCGATATTTGGATGAAATTTTGTTTCTTGGTGATAAAAAATTTAGCAATCTTTGGCTGTATTCTTCGTCAAATTGAAAAATTCCCCCTCATGGTACTCGATTTTCACATTTTCCTTGACTCAAAGGCGATCTGGATTCAGTATCGAAGCAGCGAAAAACTTCTGTTTTTTTGGTCGAAGCGCAAAAATTCATAT